TAGAACTTAAATCTGTTTGCACTTGAAAGAGTGAGAAAAGCTCCACAAGTCCTGAAGGGTTGAATAGCGCTAGCTAGAAAAGACAGACCCTGAGAGGAAGGGCTGTCAGCAGCCAGAAATTGGGTCAGAAGAGTCTGGTTTTTTGTGTGTATCTTCTGGATTTATGTATGGGAGAAGAGGTTGGATGGTCACATGACTCAGCAGGAGGGTTAAGTCACTCCAAGAACTGCACTATGATGAAAGCTCTGTGAAACATTGAAGACCCAGGATAGAAAACTGAGGCACAGTGTCCCCAAGGGTATGTCATAAGGGGTGCGCTCAGCGACTGCATCCTGCAGCCATCTGGAAGAAAGTATAAAATCAGTACTGTTAAAATTTCCAGATGGCAAAAAATAAATGGAGTGGCATCTAATGGGGACAGGTTAGTTAAACAAGTTGATCTGGATCTCTAGGTAGGATGGTCTAATTTGAGCAACATACATTTTAATACAGCCAAATCCAAGGCCATACAACGAGGAACAAAGGCTATAACCTTTGATCACTTAGAAGATGCGGAGCTGGAAATTGCATATCTTATTTTGAAATAACTTATTTTGTAATTTGGCACAGTGTACACAGTGCCAAATTTCTAAATAATTCGCTATTCCAAAACAACCCTTACCCCTCATGGAATAAGGTTTACAGGGACGTTGGAATAGCGAGCCCAAAATAATGGGCTTGCTGTTAAGACACAGGATAGCTATTTCGGGTTACTCAAGTATCCCAAAATAGCGGTGCAGTGTAAATGAAGTCCAGTTGAACAAGATCTCCCAATGCACAGATGTCCTTGATTGTATACATGGAGAATATTGAGTAGTGGGGGAGGCAGCGTTACCTCTGTATATGACATTAGAGACACCATTACTCAATACTGTGTCAGTTTTTATGTACATATTTCAAAAAGGATATTGACAAGTTGGAAAGGATTGAGAAAATAACTACAAGAATGATTCAAGGATTAGAAAACAACATACCTTATAGTGACAGAAGTGATTTAATAGTTCAAGAGAAGGCTAAAAAGTGATTTGATCATGGGCTAAAAGTACCTACATGGGAAAAAGATTTCTGATATTAAATGAATATTAAATCTACGGTAAAAGATATCATTAGCTCTAGCAGTAAATGTTGTAATGGTTGGAAGCTGACACTAGACAAATTCAGATTAGAAATATGGTGCAGTCATTAACAGTTAGGGTAATTAACCATTGGAACAACTTAATTAGTGGTGCATGGAATTGCTATCACTTTCAGTCTTTTAATCAAGACCTGATGTCTTTATAAAAGATATATTATGGCTGAAACAGAAGTTATGTCTTGATGCAGAGATTCCTGAGTGAGAATGTTTAGCCTGTTTTGTGGAGGTCAGATTTGATTGTCATACTGTCTATAAAAAAAACTAGGAGTAAGACTTTCAGATAACAGCATTGCATAGTAATATTTCCCAATAGCCCTAATTCAGCTCCCATTGAAATCAATTGAAAGCCTCATATTGACTTCAGGGGGGGTTGGAATGGGGCCAGTCTGAATATATACTTCATAAAGACAGCGCACTTCAAATGTTATAGCTATATCTATGGTTTATAAAACAGTCAGTTACTTTTCATGAAACATATAATCAAATTCCTAATGTCAAATTCTGAATGACAAAGTAACTTCTTTATTTGGATGACTGCAATGTATTCACTGGAACTGGATTTCAAACTTTTAGACATTGAATGTGCACTGTCACATTAGCGATGCATCATACACCGCTCAAGGGAGAAAGTATGCCCACGTGTCAAATGACTGAGAGCCAGTAGGTCATGTGAATAGCTGCAGTATGAAGCAGGTTACCACCCATTGACCCTTGCACATTTGCAAAATTGTGAATAGGTCAGACCCCTGCTTAATACCAGTAACTGCAGTGAATCATTTTGATTAAAAACAAACACACACATTGTATTAAGTGGGCTGCTGCCCTTCTTTCTATGACTCTAATACATTTTCCGGGCCATACTATACATTATGGGTACATCTACACTGCGCAGCTATTTCGGGATACCAGAGATATCCCAAAATAGCTACCCCGCAACAAGCCTCCCATTATTTCAAAATAATGGGCACACTGTTTCGGCATCCCTAGACTATTTGTTGTTTTTTTAAGTGTTTCCTGTTACAGACTAACTTGGCTAACCCTCTGAAGCTTTCAAAATAGGGCATTATGCCAAATTTCAAATTAAGCTATTTTGAAATAGAATCAAAATAAGATAAGCAATTTGTGTATCATGAATTGCGTATCTTATTTTGACTTTAGGGTGCTGTGTAGATTCACTCTATGTGAATAACATTATACATTATATTTCAACTTGACATTTCCCGTACCAGATCACCATCTGTTCTTCTTTCTTTTTCTTTCTCTGGCAACTTGCATTGCATAGCCAGCACTGGTATATGAAGTAGTGATTGTGTCAGTTTCCAGATGAATAAACCACCTATTTGATCTGTTCTTAGGAAGGTTGTTTTGTGTCACCTGGTAGGATGTCCTTCAAGTTCACTTCAGTCAAAGACAATTTTCAGCCTGAATGCTGACATTCCCCCACTAATGTGCTTTCTGAAAAGTTTGTGATTTAACATTTCTGAAAATGAAGGTGTCATGACTCACCTGTGGGGTAGTTTTGATTCCGTGACTGCCAACAGAGTTTAAGCTTTCATTGTCACATAAATGGCATAAGGAGCGAGAAAGTTATCAGTATTTGTCAACACTGAAGCTGTGTGGAAGTCTCAAGTGAACTAAAATGTTAGTATATCCTTGTTTGGGCTTTTTCTTCTTCTTTTTACTCTAAATATTTTTATTTCATATTTTCCTCATAGCAGATTTTAAAACACTTGTAACTCTCTCCTCCCCTAGACTAGTGTTTCTTAAACTTTTTAATACTGAGGAACATCAAGCAATAATTTTTTTTTATGGAGAACACCAAGGATTACTTTTGTTGAGGGGGGGAAAAAAGCCCCCAGGGAAAAAATTGTTGAGAAAAAAAAAAGAGGTTTGCCCCTTTAAGGATGGCCATTCCCCAGGGAAAAGTTGTTGACCCCCCCCCCCAGGGCAGCCATTTTGAATTCTCGTCTCTCTGTGGCACATCTCCAACTGCACAGAACACACTTTAAGAAATGCTGCTCTAGACCAATCTCTTTAGGTTACAGTTGCCATATAGTCTATGCTATTGTTCTTATTTCTTTCCTTTTGCTGTTACCTAATAAAGTTTGGATTTGTAAAAATGCTTCCAAGTGGTTCAGAAAAGATGCAAAATCCAAATTGAATACAAGCTTGCCACAGGCTGAACACTGATTGATTTACTCATCCTGATCTGATCATTATACTTGTGTAGAAGTACTACATAATGTAAGAATTTTCAAGGTGTTCCCTAACTGATTAGTATCAAAGAAATTCTGCTGCACAAATCTGATCAGCCAGGATGTAGTTGTTGTTTTCCTACCTAAATTGTACCCAACTGCTTCAGTTCAAAACTGAAGTGCATAGAGAGTTATCTTTTATATTGAAAACCAGTAGAGCCAATCCCTTTCCTTCAGAAGGAAGCCTCTGCCTCTGTAGACACTCTTTTTATATTGTGAGTCTTCCCACAATATAATGCGGAAGACTATTATGCCGCAATAACAAATAATCACAAGCAAAGTAATAAAAACAAGTAGTTCCTCTTATTACTATAATTGAAATCAATCTGAAGTTTGCACTTAATTTAACTGAAACCAAGGTTGGGCTACATGAGCTTAATAAACTTAAAATCCTGATATCAATATGTATAATTTGATCCCTAACAGCATAACACGACACTAGCACCATTAAGTAGACCTCCTAATTAAACTAAAACTAAAACAAATTAGAATTCAAAATGACAAGAATAAGATTCTTAACCAAAAGCAGATCATGTTTCCATAATAGATTTCTTTGGGTCTAAATGGGCTTTCAGTACTAATAAGAAGTCCTTCTTTTTCTATTCTGAACACTAAGGAAATATTTCAAAATAACCCCGCCCCTTATTCCAAAATAATAAGCGGAGCATCCTCACTACCAAGCCTGTTATTTTGAAATAGCAGGCTGGTTATTTCAAAAGCTGTACTCCTGCTTTCCTCATTAGTGTGGACG